AGAGCAGGACTGGTTGTTAGCATGTCTTTTACAAAGTAGTACTGGTTGTTAGCATGTCTTTTACAAAGTAGGACTGGTTGTTAGCATGTCTTTTACAGAGCAGGACTGGTTGTTAGCATGTCTTTTACAAAGCAGGACTGATTGTTAGCATGTCTTTTACAGAGCCATGCTAACAACCAGTCCTCCTACTTTGTAAAAGACATGCTAACAACCAGTCCTACTTTGTAAAAGACACTGATTGTTAGCATGTCTTTTACAAAGTAGGACTGGTTGTTAGCATGTCTTTTACAAAGTAGGACTGGTTGTTAGTACATTTTTTACTACTCCTCAATATAGAAAAAACAAGTGGATTCATAAAGAAAAATTGAATATTTAGTATAAAGTTTAATTAAGTATGTCTAACAGGGCAAACTCTCTTTAACCCACAAATGCAAGAACTGTTGATCTTGTGGAGTAGAACCCAGTGCTAATGCCAAAGGAATCTATCAACTTTTAACACAGGACAAGATATGCTAATGGTTCTAGTTATAGAACTGTGAGATGGGCAAACTTTTCAAACATGAAGTGAACAATTCAATCTGTTTCATTCACATATTTTCTTACAAATTAAATTCAAACATAGCCTAGACCAGTCATCATTATGTTTTTTCCTAGCTTATACACAAGAGGAGTTGAAGTAAGAGAGAAAGTAAACACTGCATAAGCAGTCCATTATATTATCTTCTCTTAATTAAGGAGGTCCAGGGACATTGTTATCTCAAAATGGTTGTTTCCAGAATTTTAATTGTTTCAATAAATCACAGTTTCTCTTTCATTCATAAACGAATACAAAATAAAAACAATCAACTTCCTGTGTTGTAGATAATATCTCAGCCGATTTGATTACCACCAAACACAAAGCAGGTGGTTACCTTTTACAAAGAGTTTTAGAGGAATCCAATGGTCCATCCTCATGACACCAAAACAAGAAAATCCAAGTTCGGAAACTAAGTAATCAGGTAATTGGTCTTTGCTCAACAAAGTTGACATGTTGGATAAGGACACTCGCTACAACAACAACAACAACTATATACAAGTTACAAAATTTAAAATTCACAGAAATACATCATGATAATTAATATTAAGAAGTTGATCCTAACTATTAAAATCTAATCCAACTTTCCTAACAGGGCCAGTGAGTGTTTTACACAAATCACATCTTTTATTTTTACTGTATAATTCATTATGGCTACCTTTGACTATGTAATGGAGTAAAATTGTACAAATCTTAATTCAGACGAAACAAGAAAAACTAAAATTTTATTTGTCCAACACTGTTAAACATAATGAAAAGTTAATTATGCTTCAAAAAAATACCATGTAGCCCATAGAAACAATTTTTTACAGTATTATACAAGAAATTTCTTGGACTTGTTATCAATCTTTTTTTGTAATGACTTATCACTTCTACAAAAAATACAGAAACATAACTAATAAGAAAGACACCTTGTATCAATGACAGTGATCTTTCCCGTTTTATCTAAACGTGTTGTGAACAGCTCAATCCCTGCCCTACTAAGACTCTTCTCAGTTTGAGGAATACGTCTTGTCACACAAAACAAACAGTTCTGGGACTCTATAAGCAAAGTAAAAAAACAGACAGCATATATAAGAAAACATAATAAAAACTTCAATTAATTTCTCCTCAATATAACAGCTGGCAAAAAAATTAAGTCAACAAAATTAAAAACCTATAAATGAAAACCATTTCAGATGATACTCGGTACTCCTTTTTTTATTGTGTAATTATCAGTTACTTCAGCTGTGTGGTACTCTCTTTTTATTGTGTAATCATCAGTTACTTCAGCTGTGTGGTACTCTCTTTTTATCGTGTAATCATCAGTTACTTCAGCTGTGTGGTACTCTCTTTTTAT